TTTACAGTTCCAGTTCTACATAACTTAGAGGCAGCTTAAAAAGAGGCAGTTTGGTCCCAGAGTGGGTCTTACAGGCTCCCTCTTAAGACTGCCCTCCCATGAAATGTCTGAGAAAAACCCAGTGGTCTGAGGATGGTTTCTCAGTTACTTTCTGCTGCTAGTTCATCTTTCCTTCTAAAAATTTTGAAGCAAGCCCTACACAGTTTCTCCAAGTTGCCTACACATACCAGGTTGTCCAAATCTGTATATTTAATTATTTACAAGGATTAAGTATCTACTATGTCCCAGGGAATATGCCAGGTCCTGGAACCATGAAATAGCAGTAGAGAATACCCCATGTAGATTAATTTACCCAATGAGCAAAATTTGGATTCAAAATACTGGTACACAGTAGACCTTCAGTCAATACTGTCAGAAGAAAAAAATAAAGAACAGTCCTTGGCACCTGAGTGGATCATAAATAATAAAGGATAGAAGGAAAACTGAATAGCTACATTAAAAGGTAGTATAGTTTCATTCCAGCTCATTATTGCTCTAGTACAAGTAATTCATTGGTATAGAAGGTAAGTTTGGGGTTGTGATAATTTCATCACAAACCAGCTTGTGCCACATATTAAGTAAGGGAGCAACAAAGAAAATCTCTGGAGATAGCACAACTGCCTAACAAGGTGAGTGCTAGAACAAGATCTATACGCAGGGCAGAATCTTGGCTTGCCGCACTGTTCTGAGGATATAGAACCTCAAAAGTGAGACTCCAAGCAGGACCATGTCCACATGGGTGGCAAGAGAAAGCAGGGGTCCATGAACTGAAGCTAGCACCAGAACGAATAGTGCAGCAGTGAGGACATGTCTATGATGAGGTGTTTCCTTCTTCTGCCGTTCCACCTATAACAGCAGGAGCAGGGACCCCTAACAAGGGCTGCAAGAGAAGGCAGGAAAGAACCTGGGGATATAGGCTCTTGCTGTATTTTTAAAACAATTTTTTTTCAAAGTAAAGGAAATTTAAACTTAAGAGCTTCTAGAAGCAGCACCCTAGTGGTGGGAAATGGGTAGGAATAGCACTCAGTCTTCTACATTTGCTTATTCAAAAATATGCAAAGCACATTAAAATCTCAATTCACATTCAAAATGTCAGTGTAAGTTGAGACTTTAAAGAGTCTCATAACATAGCATAATTATTTCCATAATCATCTGGAATTTATTCATAACAACACTAGTAGCATAATATAGTATATTTTGGATATATTAATCTTATTTTCTAAGACTACATCTTAAAATCTGGACTGACATAATCATTCTAAAAACCATTACAATCTTGACTTCCAAGCACAAGACACAGTATCACTCCTCTACAGGGAAGAACAAACAGCAAAGATCTGGGATATTCTTATCACTACTTTGGTGTCATATTAGGTCAAGTTAGATAAAACATTTTAACAACAATAATTCATTTCAAAGGATACAATAAGATTTTTTTGGAGGAGCAAAAAAAGCACATTCACAGAGAACATTTATGGCCATCTTCCCTTACTTTTTGTGGATCCACCTGTTTATGTCAGTACCTCTGTGTGACATCAGTGCCCAGAAAATAAACACAGTCATAAAAGGAGAAGAATCACTGCTCCCTGCCTGCTCACTGGAACATTCGTGCAACCTCTTAACATTTATTATGTATACATATTATGTGTCAGAAATTGTACTAAATCCTGGGTTAATGAAAAAAGGTATACCCCTGTTTTCAAATAGTTTGCACAGTCTTTTGAAGGAAATGACAAGCTGACAGACTAGAAAATTAGAGCAAAGATAGACCTATGCATAGTCCTGAGTATGGAGATGGGTGGGTGAAGGTGGGGTCAGAAAAGTCTTCCTGACAGCTTCAGCTGAGAGTTGAAGGTTAAGTTTGAATTAGCCAGGTGGGGAAGAGAACTAAGTGTCTGGGCAGAGGCACCAATATGTGCCAAGACTCAGAGGCATGAGAAACCACAGGGAGGGTGAGAAAGGAGCCTTGTGGTGCCTAGGGAATGGGGATCTTTAGCCAAAGATAATGGAGAGCCACTTTGGGAAAACAACACGATCAGATTTGCACTTTCTAGAAAGCTGTCTCTGCTTGCCTGGGATGCAATAAAAGATGCTCTGCACTAGACACAGTTAGAGGCTGATGCAAGTATCCAGATAAGTCACTAAAACATCTGAACTTCTTCCAGTCTTATCATCAGCGCCATCATCATTGCAGCTAATATTTGTGAGGGTTTACAGTATGATAAGCACCATGCATACATTATTTCACTTGATCCACACAATAACAATAATGCCACCATCACACCCACTGTATAGCTAGGAAAAATGGGTGAGACTTGCCATCACAAAGTAGTAATTAGCTAAGTTAAAGTTAAGACTATAACCCAGAAGATCTGCTACTAGCACCTCATGCTTAACTACAATTCCACTCTGCTTCCCATGATTTACTGAATTTTAACAGCCAATTGGGTCACTGAGTTTTGGTTAGGGATGTACCACTTTCTGGACACAAAGCATTCAGCTACTAGCTATCCATTAAAAAGAGACTGTGACCACTCCTCTTAATAATCAGGCAGCCTCATGAAATGATATATCCTCCAACCCAATGTACTCAAGAGAAAAAAGACAGAAGGGGACAAATAATCAAAAATGCATAGTACAAGAACATGTGATTTGTAACCAATAGAGTTAAAACATCAAACTCTTAACTAGAAAGCTTATATAGATTTCATCTAAAAGAAAAAAAAAGCCAAAAGTAATCAGTTGCTCTCTTTGTTAGAGATCTTTGAACTGTTATTTCTTTTAATGCTACAAATTTTGATTCTAATAGTTGAATAGCTGTATGATTTCAACTTGTTCCTTTTTGCCTAACCCATTCTTTATAAAAATGTTAATATTCATATTACTGTACATATGTTACATTATCAAAATACTGACTGTTGAACTTATTATTCACTATTTTGCAAAGATATGATAGTGCTCTGTTATAAATGTGTTTTATTTGAGGTGACAGTTTCCAGACCTACTCATCCGAGCAAGAACTTCATTACTTCTGGCAAGGATCCCAGAGAGGATCTCCATAACTCAAAAACTTAAATACCACTTTTGTTCAAGACAAATCATTGCAATACTGCCAAAAATGCTAGAAATGCACATACCCCCACACCAATCTTAGTAGCAACAATAGCTAAAACAGGTAAGAATCTAAGTTCCAATTTCAAACAGACTTAATATTTAAAATGTATCTATATATGCAGAGCCAAGACTGACCAAAAACAAGATTCAGAATCTATAAATCTCCAGAATTGAATTGTATGTTTTTTTGCACAGGAATTCTTTATCCTTTTCTACATATAAAATTAATCTGCTCCATGTTTTTAAAGAACCACAAACTATATTTAACGAAAACCCAAGAACAGTAAATAATGTTCATTTCAATCCTTGTTAATGTAAACAGATTTTTGAGATACTGAAGTACAAATAAAACCAATGTGCTGAAAGTCTTGAATTATAGTATTAACACAGGTATTTTCCATTGCCAACCCTTACCTTATGATTAACCTTAAATTCATGGTGCTGAAATAATATTTAAGTTTTGTTTTTCCAATTATTTTCAAGCTGAAGGGAAGTTATGTGCCACGCGGTGCAAAGTAAGCCCTTTGAGAGCAGGCACCACACCATTCATTATCCCTTGCCTAGTCAAGGAACACCCACCACCCGAACAGTGCTCACTAAATGTTCACTGCGTGAACAAGTAAATGCAAGAATGAATGAAATAATATAATAGAAAGAATCGAAACAATGTCCTGATAATTCAGGCAAAGCTGTTCTTTTGCAGGGTAGGAAGGAAGATTCAAAAGCCTGGGTTATTAAAATTAATTGTCCACTATAACTGAATTCATAGGATAACTTGACTTAAATTCATGGGATAATTTATTTCTAGTTACAGACACAATAATCTGGCATGGGCACATTGCCAATGTGAACACTGGATCTCTGTGATCACTCAGAATTAGCCCCTTATTTGACTTTGAATTCTTTCCCAGCATATAAGACTATTTCTTGCCCCTGTTTAAGATTCATATTTATCTGTTCATCTCCATTTCTTTAAGTAGCCAATGTGTTAAACAAAATGTCTCTATTTTGATCAAGACAAAATAAAATTGAATTAAACTATGTTTAGTCCTGATTTCTGAGTAACAATTCATTAGTATTATAGGTTTAGAAGTATTTGTTAAGTTATGATGAGACACACCTTACATGTTTATTTTCTTGACATTTTAAAAAATGACTGACAAAAAATATGAAAGAAAAAATACAAAATGTTTATCTTGCAGTTGTGATAATATACTGGGATATCTTTATTCTACCTTTATAATTAACATTTTTTCTTATCTTAAAAAAGGAAGAAGAGACAGACTCAACCACAAAGGAAAGGGGGAATAATGACTGTTAAAAAAACATAATAATACTAAATAGAAATATAGGTTAGTGAATGAACTAAGATCTATTTAGAATTTTAAAAATTGAAGTGCCTTTTCCTGACATGATTCTAGGAACTTTATGAAATATTCGTCCTTATTATTAATTCTTGTAACTTTCATGGTTGTATGATTTTTAATTATTTCACAGCATGGCATGAACTTAATTCTCTAGAGGCAAATACTCATGAGTCTATCATGGTTACTTTTATCCAGCATTTACTTGGAAGAAATAACTGAAAACAGCATATTAGCACAAAACTTCATGTAAATAAATATCTTAAGTATCTTCACAAACTCCAAAGATTCTTAAAAAAAAAAAAAAACAACTGACGTTCCCCCTTTTGCTCAAGTATTTTTGATCACCTTCTGCCATTTGACCCACAGCTTCACATTCATTTTTTTTTATTAGTACCCTTGATTTGCAAAGTTCAATAAATTACTTTTGGTCTTTGAATTATGAAAAATTTTAAGAATTCAATGTAACAAAGTTTAACTTACCTTAAAAGAGATTTGTTTCCATGAATTCTTTTTAATAGGACTTTGGTCCTCTTGTCAAAAGCAGTACAGAGACTTCCCTCTCTCCACCCTTCTCTGAGGCTCAGTGGGTGGATGGCTCCCTCTCTGTCTGTAATAACCGCTGTGGAAGACTCAGAGTTTATCTTCACTCCTGATGCCACGCACCTTTTCTTGGCACTTCCTCTGGTCCCAAGGGAAAATTCCCGCAGAAATTCCCTTCACCATACTCTCTTGACAGATGGCCCCGCTGGCAAGGGCCCTAACTCTTAGGAGCGCTTTAACAGGCTTTTATTCTCCTGCGCTGCTTCCTCACAGGTTTTGTGTTTTAATGGCACACTGGTGATGCCTCAATGTCCTAACAGGCCAGAACCTCGCTCCACCCTTGTAGTACTCCCAGCTAATCTGCTTTTCTGATTTCCATTTCAATAAATTTGCAAAGCTAGTTTCCTTTTAATGTGTCATTACTTTTCTGCTCCTATACCCAGAGGCAGTTGGATAAAAGGAACAATTATTTATTTTCAAGCACAAACTGAATAAATATTGAACTGTTCAAATACAAATGAAGTAATTTTGTATAGGCATTGATAAAGCTGTAAACCAGAAAAAACAAAACCTTACAAATACCTATTTCTTTACATTACATATGTTCCTCTGATAAATGCTTTCGTCATGTCGTTCCCCCTCCCTCAGTCTCTTTCTCTCTCCCTCTCTCTCTTTCTTCCCTCACTCTCTCTCCTCTCCTCCCTCCATCCCTCTCACCTTTTTGGGAAAAAGAGGAAACATGCTCTGAAATTAGAGGGCCAGTTGTCATCTAGACGTTGCTACTTAAAATAGTAACAGGAATACTCATTTTTCAAGCCTTTCATCCTTACCCTTAAGTATGATGAAAAAATGATTCAAAAGGGATAGCACACTAAACTTAGGTAAGTAAGTTGAGCTGAGTGCAGCAGGAAGTAAGGGGTGGTGGGGACCATGGCCAACTCATCCGCTTGTTCAGAAGGAACAGTGGCTGCTCATCTCCAGCTACTTATTCACTGTCTGGTAGGAACTCACACTCTGCATTGTGAAAGCTATTTGTTTTTCAAGGGTCTCCCCATATCTGGATATTTATGTGAAAAACCTCATGCTTTTTAAATGTTAGAGGATACAATCAGAGCTCAGCCCAACACCTGTGGCCCAGGCTGAGTCTTGCCACATAATGACTTCTGATCTAGAACACGCTGAAATGAAACCAATAACAACACTAAAGCACTGCCTTTTAATAATTATGGGCTCTTTTCTTAGAGATGAAAATGATGATAATAATGTAGACTAGTTAAGCCACGTAAAAGTATAATAATCCTTATTAACGACCTTAGGAAGGTCAAAGGAGCGGTAAATAATGTGGGCAAAGAGTAGCTCAAGTCTGGATGAGAAGGACCAGGTTTACTAATAATAATAATAAAAAGCAATTTGATGAGGAGAGAGTGAGAAATTTTATTTATTTTATCTGGGTTTCTTTCTCTCTACCTAATATTAATCTATATAATAATCATTGTTTTTTTAAATTTTTTTAAATTATATAAATGTGCTAAATGCAGAAAAGACTTTGAGTCTCATAACTAATAAACATCTATTACTAGTAAAATATCAGTTTATAATCGTCTTGAATGTGTATATATACACACATATTCACACATATATACATTTTACATATAGTTTTGTATTATATATATACATATTTCTGTATCTTTATAAAAAATGTATACTGGATGTACTATTTTTTATCTACTACTACTAATATACTAATATTATTTTTTATTAATACTATTAGTCTGTTTTTTCACTCAATCCTAAATATAGTATTGACTTTTCCCAATTTAAATAAATAATCTCCCACAATGTAATATTTATATGGCTACACAGTATTCATTGTTTGGGTATAACATAGTTTATCTGACCAAACCCCTGTTACCAGATAAATTTTTCCATTTTTTTCTTGACAATAAAGTGTCTATAATTACAACTCTTCATTTACCTTTGTGCACACCTATCATATTATATTTTATCAAAATATATGTATATTTCTCTTTCCAAAGGTTGTGCCAATTTATGATCCTACATCAGTAGGATGATAAGTGAATTTGTTTCCCTGTGTTCTCAATAAAATTGGGTATATAATATCTCTATTTGAGGAATAAAATAGACATAGAGTATTTTAGATCTTATAAAACAAACAAGTCCTATTTTCATATACACCACCTGAATTACTATTTTCCTTAATTTTTTTTTCCCTTGACTAACTGGCAAAACCGGTTTATCTAGTGCTCCGTAGAGTCAGCAACCTGTAACACAGGGACAGTGGAATCCCTCAGAGAGGCCTGTGGCCTGCCAGCTAACTGAGTACTGGGACACCTGCTGGCAGCAATGGGTCTCTCCGTCTTTGGATCCCTGATGATTGTTAATCAGATGCTTCATTCATTGGTATTAGGGATGATTCATTTTATGTGTCACTTTAACTGGGTCACAGGGTGCCCAGATATTTGATTAAATATTATTTCTGGGTGTGTCTGTGAGGGTGTTTCCAGAGGAGACTAGTATTTGAATCAATTAACTGAGTAAAGCAGATGTTTCCCCCAGTCTGTGTGGGTACCCCCCCAATCCACTGAGGGACTGAAGAGAACAAAAAGGCAGAGGAAAGGAGAATTTGTTCTTTGTGCTTGACTGTTGAAACAGAATGTCAATCTTCTTCTGCCCTTGGACTGGGACTTCCCATCAGTGCCCCAGTTCTCCTGCCTTCAGGCTTGGAGTGAAACCATGCCACCAGCTTTCCCAGACCTCCAGCTTGCAGATAGGTGGGACTTCTCAACCTGCCTTATTGCATGAGTTTCAGCTAGGTAGTTTTTAAACAGAGTATATGAAACCTGTGGGGAAAAAATGAGTAAGGTCTAGTACACTAGGGATAGTTTATATGCCAAGAACTTGGTCATGCTGTGCCTCTTCCTACATGTCCAAAGAGATTAGTTGATTTTTATCCAATTGTCCATTAAATGTCAGGCCCAAGAAGTTTTTTTGTTGGCATTTAAACAGAATTAAAGAAGGTTAGTCCTGGATCACGGGAAGATGGCGGCGTGGGTAGTTCAGAGGAAATCTCCTCCCCAAAACATATATATTTATGAAAATACAATAAATATGACTATTCCTAAAAGAGACACCAGTGGATGAAGTACAAAAGCCAGGATACATCTACATCTGTGAGAACTCAACATCACACGAAGGGGGTAAGATACAAGCCGCAGCCAGGCAGGACCCGAACGCTCCCCCACCCCAGAACCCAGTGGGAAGACAGGAGTCAGAATGGGGAGGGAGTGAAAGCCCAGGACTGCTAAGCAACCAGCTCTAGAAATCCACACCCAGAGCGCAGACATAAGGTGGACAGGGTTCTGGATATTAGAGAAATGGAAAAGCAAAACCTGTGGGCAGGTCCCTGCAACCGGCGCCCCTGAGACAAAAGAAAAGTGAGTGCTTTCTGCAAGTCTTAAAGAGACAGGGACCCCATAGCTGGACAAAGTCGTCCTGGCACACTTAGCCAGCAGCTGAGTATCCCGGGGGACCTCAGGCACCCTAAACCCTGGGATGGCAGCACAGCTCTGAAGCCCCTCATAGCACTAAGCAGCCTGCCAGTCATTCCTCCAACTGGCATGGACCCCGACACACTAGCCAAGTAGCGGGAGAGTGGCAGCACGTGCCGGGGGCAGCGATGCCAGTAGGGACCGGGAGCAGATTGCATGCGCCAACGGCACCAGAAGGGACCAGGAGAGGCTGGTGCAAGCCCACAGCGGCGGTGACTGAACAGCCCGGGTGTGGCTCGCGCACACTGGCGGCAGTGGAGACAGAGGAGCCCGGTAGAGGCCCACACGGGATAGCCCAAAGTGCACCTGCAGCGGAGCCAGAGGGAGCCGCCCGGGCCAGACCCAAAGGCCACTGCTGGCACACAGCTGCCTGGCAGGGGTGCTGCTATCATAGAGGGGCACACCTGACATGCCTGTGACTCCCCACAGCACTCCGCACTGCTCTGACAGACACCCCGCCCACAGCAGCTTAGGGGATTAACCCGGGGGCTGCTCCAGGAGTGCAGGTAATTGACACAGGCAGTGAAGAAGGGCAAGGCATCCAGCAAGCAGGAAAGGACTTTCTTCTCCCAGCTGACACACCCGCAACCTATCTATCACCGCAACCTGTATCTATCTATACAGCCACCACTATCACCATGAAAAGGCAAAAAAATGTAGTCCAGTCCAAGATAGTTCAGACAACACCTGAGAGAGGATCTGCAGAGACAGACCTAACCAGTCTTCCTTAAAAAAGAATTCAAAATAAATATCATAAACATGCTGACAGAGCTGCAGAGAAATATGCAAAAGCTAAGGGATGAAGTCCAGAGGGAGATTACAGAAGTGAAACAAACTCTGGAAGGATTTATAAGCAGAATGGATAAGATGCAAGAGGCCATTGATGGAATAGAAACCAGAGAACAGGAAAACATGGAAGCTGACATAGATAGAGATAAAAGGATCTCCAGGAATGAAACAATATTAAGAGAACTGTGTGACCAATCCAAAAGGAACAATATCCATATTATAGGGGTACCAGAAGAAGAAGAGGGAGAAAAAGGGATAGAAAGTGTCTTTGAAGAAATAATTGCTGAGAACTTCCCCAAACTGGGGGAGGAAATAGTTGCTCAGACTACGGA